TGGTGGTGATGGTGGTAGTGATGGTGGTGATGTTGGTGATGATGATGTTGGTGGTGATGGTGGTGGTGATGGTGATGTTGGTGGTGTTGGCGGTGATGGTGGTGGTGATGGTGGTGGTGTTGGTAGTGATGGTGATAATGATGGAGGTGATGGTGGTGGTGAGGGTGGTGGTGATGGTAACGATAATGTCAGTTGCTATTAATGTGCTGATCTGGTGCTACCAGCTTTGACAGATCATTTCACAGGTCCCAGGGCCTGTCTCTGACCTTGGTGCTTTCTGCAGAGGTGTAGCTAGAGCTCTAGCTGGGAGCTGCTTGGGATGGAAAATCACCTGGCGTGGATTCGCAGAGGCATGCAGCTCAGCCTCTCTCAAGTGCTGGCAGAGGATGGACGTCAGATGGGTCAGAAGTTCGCCTGAGGCTCTGTCAGGAGGCCCCCAGTGTGACTCGTCTGCCTGTGTCAGCCTCTTGCCTGTCATGCGCTGAGTTTGGAGTCACAGTGTCTCGCAGGAGAGAGCCAGAGGGTAGTTCCTTGAGTGCTGGTCTTAAAGCTCATGGCGAGTGTGTGTGTTACTGGACAGGCCACTGCAAGGAAGCCTGGCCCCGGCCTGTGCTTAGCAAGGTCAGTGCTCAGGAAGGATCTCAGACCCTGCCTGCTGGCACCTGCCCTGGGACTCCCTGGCCTGCTCAGATGAATCTAGACTTCCCCAGCTGAGCAAGCTTGGGTCTCTCGGGAGGTGCACCACCCACGAGGGGCCATGCAGCCCTGCAGGTCCCCAGCGTCATTCAGGGCGTGTCTCCATTTAATCAGTCATGTGTCCGTGACATCCAGCTCAAGGTCGCTGCGGCTCAGATGTCGCTGAGCCCTGCCTGGTGATTCTTACATCGTGATTCACTCATGCATTTTCCCAAGGCTAGTTGGAAAGTTGCTTTGTCCGTGTCACCAGGGGGCCTTCAGTGTCCTTTAGGCATGTAAGCAGGGATGCCGGCATGACTTCCTCTGCACCTTAATGGCCAGCTGACCTGAGCAGTGCTGGCCGGCCAACCCCGGGAGCGAGTCCTGTGACAGTGAAATACCTCCTAAATGCCAGAGTCGGAGTGGAAGGGAATCCGCACAGAGGCAGCAGGGAGAAGCGAGCTCCTTCCCCTTCCGTGGAAAGCCATGGTGGCAGTTTAAATGCTGAACCCCTTTTAATTAAGTTGCTGGGTGTTTGCTACCAGGAAAGTGAATCTCTCCTTAATTTAAAGATGTTTGAAGCAAATGACTCATGAACTTCAAAAGTTTTGAGTAGCTTAATTGGGATAAGAGCGTCACAGAACAAATGAGCGGCTGGAGGTCCTGGAGCACCCTGGACTTTGCAGACACCGAGGCTGGTCTTTAGAGTCTTAATTGGGACTGTCTCAGTGGCAGGGGTGGCCTGGCACATCCTGAGAGCCACAGTTCTGGCTGGTGACCAAGGACACACTGAGCACAATCACAGGTGGAGACGGGTGCCAGCCGCCAGCCCTTGGGGCTGTGTGGCCCTTAGAGAACTCCCTGTGCTTCTGCTGAGCGGAGCCGGGTTCACACCAAGTGGACACGTGAAGTGTCCGCCCTGACTCTGCCCGGAGACTCCGCTTCCTTTCATTCCCGTTCCCCACGCGCCGCTCTGGCTTAATGCAGTTAGTGC